AGATGGGGAAGAGTCTGTGAATGCGACAAATTCAAAATTAGGTCCTCTTGGGAGCGTTCGTTTGATGTTTCGAGGCATATTTCAGTTTTATAAAAGACAGCATAATGCACGCCGCTCATTAACTGTCGCCATCTTAAACATGTTTCTATGATTAACGGTAGACCGGGAGTAGTGTTTCTCTACATTCCTGGGATTGGTAATCTGGGTATAAAAAATACTGCGCCTGCCTTACCAATCTGACAGTATTTACACTTGGTAGATTCTGGCGAAACGGGTGATTTTTTATCTAAATAAATTTGTTTTATATTTGAAAATGGTTTTACATATTTACTACAGGTTTTATATACCAGGCAGTTCGTACTATGTTTGTATTGTTGCTTTATATTTAATATTGAGTCATGTATATATTTGGGAAAAGTAATTTTGTCCACTTTTGCATGTCATAGAAACGCTTGAGAAATGTACCGTATGCACTGGATCTGCTATTGAGAACAGTGATTTAGATTTGCTAGATCCTTCATCGTCTACATTAATTCACGCTACACCTATTTTCAAGAAGGTTGATGGTTAACCATCTCCTTTTGTTGAACGTATAACTTTCAATTTTGAACAAAAGTGCATTTAAGTATATACTTAAGGGATAACTTTTGTTGCATACATTAAAGAAATATTTTCAATCATTCTAAATATCCATCAATGGATTGAAAGATTTGAAAGAAATAAATTTCAAGTTATTATAATTATTCATTTCTTTAGAAATTTATTGTTTTCACAGTCAAATGAACATCAAAATATTAGCATGTATAGCAGGACAAATTTTTAGGCTGGCTACGCTACAGAACAAAATGGAATCAAAACTACATATGCAACACAATCATTTTTGCATGTTAATAATTCCATTTGGGATGCCATTAGGATGAACTCAACGTTTCAGCTAAATTGCAAAAGTAAAAAAGGGATTAGATTTTATAAGCCAGCTTGTAGAACCAGCACACACATATCAACAATAATTGTATATTTTTGAAGAGCATCTTTACACCTCCAAGTTGTAACACTATCCCCAGACCAAACACATTGTCACTTGCCTCCTTGTCACCCTAAACAGCTCCGCCCTCTCTGGAGCTTAATAACTCTCCTATTGGAGATTAATAACGGGAAATGGTGTAAATGATGCGGTATGCATACTTTAGTTGTTGCTATTTATATATGCTTTAGATGGTTTATAATTTGCATGACAATACTATCTATGTTAATCAAATTCACAAATTGTTATTGAAAGTTTAAAAAACGAACAATACAAAATCCAGCTGACTGGATATCGATTGCATTTTGGTGTGCACTAATGTCCGGTATAGCAGATCAGCCTTGTTATCATTTTTTTGTAAAAGATGTGCTCTCGAAGTTCGACCTCCTTTTTGAACTGCTATTTGTTTGTCATAAAATGAGCTTAATGTGAAGAGAAAACAGATTGGATTTAGCGATTTTTTTTCTCTTTTTTTTCCACTTAAGCCCTTTTGCACTATAGCCTTTTCTTTTTTCACTATAGCCAATGGTTGCAACACAACAGTAGCAGCTTTCGTATCAGCATTTGTTGAAATTAAAACCAGCCATTTTTTTCTCAACTCTTTGCTTCGGCTTAACTCTTCTAGGCATTTCAACAAAATTTCACTTCTGTGAGCCACAAAATTGATTCGTCTAATTATATCTTTGACAAGTTTATGAAGAAACACGAAGAAAGGAATGACATTATCATTCACAACAAACCTATAGTTGTTGTCCAAGGAGGAAATACTTCTCAATGCAGACGATCGGTCTGCAAATAAAACTGATGATGCTTAATTGCTCTCTTGTAGAGGTATTTGGCTTGAGCCTTTTGTAATAACATCTCTCGATCTCTTCAAAGCCCATCCAGCATGATCTTTGATCGTTTCATGCTCGCTCATTTTGTGGCAATTTGTATTAGCTTCGAAATGTTTGACATTCATGCACTCATCGCTTTTTGAATTGGTTTCTGCTTTACAATTCCCTGACCAAAAATGCTGCATGATTTGCTGGAGAAATGCCTTGTGATGCACTGGTTGAGCCTTTGGGTGTCTTGTCCGGATAAGACACAAAATTTTCCCATGAATTTTGCAACGCTGTATATTGCGAACCACTCAATCTTTTTTGCATAAATACGCTTTCTACTATAATGTTGTATGGTTGCTTACCACCGCAGTTATAACGTCGGCGTCACAGAAGCAATCTTGGAAAAATATCAATAAAGCTTGCAAGAGTCTACATCCGTGGTAGATAAATCGCAATTTTGCTATATATTTTTTATTTTGAAATGATTATGAGGTACAGACTGCAATACCCGAAATTGCTATAGACATGGTAAATAAAAAATTGGTGCAAATTATTGCATCGTTGTTACCGCTTAGATGTCCCCAAAGGGATATTTGTAACAAAATAGATGAAATTTATTTTACTTGCATGGTGAAATAAATTGATTTTATCCTGAGGTCTCAGCCTTGTTTTATACGCACAACATTTTTACGTATACACTGCACAAGTATCGAGAATATACAATGCTATCTGAAGTAGTAATCACTAGAGTAATAAATTGCCTTTGTTACGTAATTCTATTTTACAAATAATCGACAAAATTTCCCCCCAAAATTTTAAAGAAAATTTAAAGCTTTGAGCTTGTTGGATTTAATTGGGAAACAAGCGATGTTAAATAGATGAGCAACACCACTGATCAAGCAAAACTGCTTTGAGCCACCAATCCCCCACATCGATCAACAAAAGTACTGGCGTTGCACCGCCCTATATATATAAGCGCCCTGTGTCAGACCTTGTCGGTGGCTGAATTTATATACAAATAGTTAGCAAAACAGCATTCGAACGATTAAGAATGCTTCTTTTACAAAGGTTTTTTAAACAATGGACGTTTTGGGACTCGTATTTTGCAGAAGAATGGTAAGTACTTCATATAACATATTTACTGTTTCGAAAGAGTTTTTTTTGTTAAAAATTTCAGATTAAAAATAGCAGAATATTGTGCCACAAGGCCGCATAGACATTTTGAAATTTCGAAACATGGTCATCATTACGCCGATTAACAATAGCGAAAATAAGATTAGAAAGTCAAATTTCTTATTATTGTATTGCTTCTATTTTACATAAAATATGTACGTAAATTGGACTGCTAGTTAAGGTCTTTAAAAAGACAAAATATGAACAAAATTTCAATCGATTAGAGTTTAAATTATGTAGCACTTTTCAATATTCAAAATGCTACAGTGAATATTTTTCAAATCCAGAGAGTCAAAAGTACTTTAATACTCTTTATAAGAATTCAACACTATTTCAATCAAACTGATGGTCTTCTTACAGGTGTTGAATTTTAATATATTTTTTGTTTTTCGTTTTCACACATCTTTTACCAAGTTCTCGATTATTAAATTTTAAGATATAATGCAAACGCATTTTTACAAAGAGCTTGACGAGGTATTTGCTTGGGAACTACCAAAACTCAGGCAGATAAAACAATGGTAGTTTTCAATCTGGTGCTCTGTAATTTTAGGTGCTTGGATGCAAGAACCTATCTCCCCCACCACTTTTTTCTCTATTTCTGTAACATATTGCACAAATTAATTATTAGGGACTGTTAATCCTCCAAAGTCACCATTTTCTTAATTGTAGGCCTTGAAATAGCAAAATAACTGGCTGCTGTTGGTCAGGTTGGTGGTTCAAAATATTTTAGCACAGGTAATGCATTCTTGTTTGCAGAGGCATTTTTTCAGTAGATAACCTGCAACATATGTCAGTGCATTAACAGACAATAAATTCTTCTCAAGCTTGTTGTCTTTATACTCTTTCTCATCTATTACATATCTAGCACTCTTTGATCTGTTCTCATTACCCAGACAATCATTCGATTTGGTTTCGTCTTTAATGTCCACTAGACATGTGCTTGCATCAGTCGTGCAATTAAATGAAGGCAGTGTGGACAAATAGTTGTTAAAGAAAAGTGTTCGAAAAGCTTTGGTAAATTGAAGTGGTTGTCGGGTTGTCAGAATTGCCACCTTGTTGCCTGATGAGACCAAGGAAATTCTCAAGCGGGTCTTGCTTTAAGCATCTGGTCCTGAGAAATGTTCTTCCATGGTTTCTTTGCAAATCATTCCACAATGCTAAAACTCTGTTTGTAGTCATTTGGCATCCTTTAAGGCATCACAATTCCGTTGTTACATCTTCTTAGCTTGATCTTTCAATAACCTTTATTGATGAAATGAATTTCAACATATCTTTCAGGAATTTCTGGTGGGTGGAATTTGCTGCAATTACTTGCTTATAAAGCTTTGGACTGTTAAGTGAAGAGATATCCAGGCAGTCAAAAATGTTGTCAAAGTTTCAAAGCAGCTCAGCTGTGCCAGCAGCAGCAGGTGGTAAAGCACCAAGAGATACATAGGCAAACGGTTGAGGCAACTGTATGGCTAAGAGCTTGTGTCGCATATTTATAAACTTTCATCTTTTCAAATGTATTCGGGTTTACAGTTTATGCCTTTGTGTGAGCCTTGGACAACAGCGTAGGGATTGTTGCTGATCTCTGTTGTACACAATTTTTATGTCTTCCCAGGTTCCGACTTTTTCATCAAAATAGAGATCATACTTCATAAGGTTATTTTCAATTAAGTTATTTTAATATGTAAATGATGTCACTCATAACTTGCACTTTTTGTCTTAGCACTTCCTTTGCCCAGCAGGGGTCAACTCAGGAGCAGTTGGAAATGTTGCCACCCATTTCATGAGAATGCTTTTTGAAGGAATCATGAAGAATTTTGACAATAATCTGTATGCCTTGATGAATTTGATGGAAAAGATGTATGAAGGCCAACAGAAACCACCCATCTATTATAATAGCAGGTTTCCTTCTGCCAACTATCAGGAAATACCATTGGCTTTCAATCAATACTATCCATCTAATTGCTTCAATACCACCAGTTCTTTCACTCATGAACAACCCAAGCAGTGATGGACAAAAACAACTACCAGGTTAGGTTTAAAAACTACTTTTGAGTTTACAGTTTTTATGTTAATTTAGCAGCTAGGTCATTATGGCATAATTTATAAAAGAGTAGGGTTCATATTGTCTTGCTATACTATACTATAGTTGCTATAGTATATATCTTTAAACATTTCTACTGTGAAATGCCCAAGAAGTTATGGACAAAAACAATCATTAACATTAATTATAGTAACAATAGTATAAAAACTATTAGTAAACAGTAGGGTATACATAACAGTAGGGTATTATAGTTTGTGCTATATTACTGCAAGACGTAAATATAACGAGTTAATGTTCCCAGTTAAAGTTAAATATACTACCTTTGTTTTATGCATTTATTGTAGCAATTGTTTTATTCAAAATATTTCATGAATACACTCCTTATTACTTTGCCATCACGTTCATTGTTATGCATTTCTGCAGTTGCCTCAGCTCAAGGTTGAAATTGTTGGTCATGCAGAGTCACTGCTCTGGTCTGGTCATCAGGAATTGATTCTTTATGCATTTCGCAAAAATTTTGCAAAACAAAACAAGAATGAATGGTTGTTGGTATGCTGTCCATGTTTAGATCAATAGGGCGTTGAAAGATCCCAGAACGAGCTTTGAGACGACCAGAAGCACATTACACAACCATTCTAGCAGATGAAAGGCGATACCCAGAGAATTGTTCCTGTGGAGTGTTACCACCCTTGGCAAATTCTGAGATGTGTTTTTTTGCGGGCAATAAAGTGATTTAGTTCTCTGCATAATAACGTAAATGATTGCTTCAACATCCTAAAATTTTCTCTCCATTCTACAGGTACTGTAATATCTGCAATTCCCCTTTTTTACTCTATTTGAATATTATCTAATATTATCTAAATGCAAATACAAACTTACAGAATAGCAGAACTCGCAATAATTTGTTCGACACATCAAAAGTGATGTAAATTACCTCGAAAAATACAAGCAAGAGTCAAAGATTCCTAAAAGGTTAGTTTAAAGTTATTGATCTAATATCTTTCTATATTTAAATATCTCTAACTGCAGCGATATAACTTTAATACAATCATAATTCCCGCGAAGCGATTTCCATCAAATTTGAACTCCCTCCTGACTAGGTCAGTAGGTCTTTTAAAGGCTTAGTTTTCGTCAAAATTCTTTTTATATTTTTCTCTCATTAGGGTACCCCAGCGTTCTTTTATCATTTTACATCACTGATCATAAATTGTTCGGTTTTAAGCTATAAATTATCACAAAACCATATCGTGCGTTGACATATATAATTCCAATATATAATTTCAGTTATGCTATGGCTTATAAGTATCCTGTATGTAGGTTCACAATCCAATTCAATCCGCCATCTAATCGTCATTAACAAGTTTTTCGAGCATAGCTACTATATTTTGTATGTTGTTGTCTGGTATTTTAACACAGTATTTTTGAAATTGCTCTGTTGCTTAGACTACGCATAGTCTGTTTGCTTTATTTTGTTTTGCCGGAAGAAACAGACTATGAATCAGCGCAACTTTTCGTGTTCTGTGACGTAGCTACTATCCAGAATCTGGATAGTTCATTGTGATTGGTCGCCAGGTAATACAGGCGTTTCATTGGTTCGCCGTGGTTAATTTATGTTTATATATAGTAAAATTTTTTTATATAATCGCAACATGGCGGCGGCAATTCGTTGGGGAAAAGCATTCTCTTCTGTTGCAACTTAATTTAACATTGAAAGTTTGTATCCAGAACAAGAGGAAGCAATAAAAGCATTTTTTGAAAGAGATTTGAATCTTTTTGTTAGCTTGCTGACTGGAGCAGGGAAATCTCTAATATTTCAGAGTTTGACGGTCGTGTTTGACTCGTTGTTTGGTAACCCTCGAGGAACAAGCGTTCTTGTTGTCATATCACCACTTAAAGCGTTGATGAAAGACCAAGTGGAATATTTGCAGAATCTTGGTATACCATCTGTGGCTGTCGTTGACGAGTTATGTTCTGACCCAGACACCATTCAGCAAGTTAAAAATGGTGCTTATACAGTCGTTTATGGTTCCCCGGAATGCTTCCTGTCATCAGAGACGTGGAGAGATATATTTTCAGACACGGAGTCCACGTCGAAAGTTGTGGCGTAGCTATTGATAAAGCTCATTGTATTATCTCATTGTATTGTTCAGTGGTAAGTGTAAAGTGTTATCTTCGTGTGTACTTATCGTATGCAAAACAAACCCTGAATTGCAAAAGTATATATCATTTAAAATAAGGGTTTAATACTAGCTTTTTCATTAGGGGCTTGTCTGCAGGAAACAAAAAAATCCCCTTCAGAAAATGGTTTGGGTGTCTTGGAGAACTCCGAGCCTTAGTTCCAAAGAACACCAAGCTTGTAATTGTAACTGCTACAGCAACAAAAGCCACCAAAGCTCAAATACTAGAAAGTCTTGACATTAATGTGGATCAACTGTATACTGTTGAGCAGAACCCAAATAGAATGAATTTAATGTATATGCTCTCCTACATGGATAAGGAAAGTGGTCTTGAAGTGTCAGGAACTGAACTTCAAAGACTCAGTGCCAAACTGAAAGAACAATAATTTATTGTCAGACAAGGAAAAATGTTCAGTATTGTTCCGCATGTTTGAAATCAATCTTAGTGCTAACATGTACAATGGTTCATGTTTACCTCAATCGGCTTGTGGAGATGTTCCATGCTGGCACACCACAGTCTGTGAAAGACCATGTTTTAGCAAATATGACAGCTATTGACAGTCACTTGCGTGTTTTAATAGCTACAATTGCTTTTGGCATGGGAGTGAATTGTAAAGAAATCAGACGTGTAATCCATTTTGGGCCATCAAAAACTTAGAACAGTATGTTCAAAGTCTGGAAGAGCTGGGAGATGGGAAGAGCAGTACATGTACCATTCTCTATAATGGGTGGCTTGCAGCATACTGTGAGAATGACATGAAGGAATTCTTGCAGTCAGATACCTGCCGACGGCAAGAGTTAATGAGGAAGTTTAGCACACATGCTTGCACTGAAGTAAGCCCTGCTCACAATTACTGTGATGTATGTGCTGCTAATTGCTATTGTAATGGTCTGGACTGTAGGCTGAGTTGGTGTTTGGTTTCTAAGGACGCTGATTTAGAAGATGATGATTATTTGTGTATCCCAACTAATAGTAGTTTGCGCACTCGAAGTGTTTGATGAACATAAGGAAGACCTGGCACAGAAATTGTTGCAATTTCAAAAACTATTGACCAACAGATTGGATGCAACAAAGTACGTTTCATGTCCTAATGTTTTAATGGAATTCAACAAATTCCATATTAAGCAAGTTTTAGACAACTGCCATCTACTATTTAGCTTGACCGATGTTCATGAACGGATTGAAATTTGGCGGAATCAGTATGCTTGTGTTATACTTAAAGTAATTGCAGAGGTTTTTGATGATATTGAGTATGACATCCCAGGTGATTTAAGTGCTGGAAACACTTCTGTTTTTGATGAATCAATTAATTCTGCATGGAATGAACTCAGGAACGACTCTTCATTTAACCACATGTTTGATAGTGTTGATAACACAATTGCAGACACGACACTTGGTGACACTGAGATGTCTGAGATGGACTCAAACTATTCTGGTAACAGTGGCTTGTTTCAGAACTTACTTAACTAATTTAGAGTTGTATTTAGAATGATAAACCCTCAAATGAGAGTGTATGCCTCACTAAAATATAGTAAAATTGTTCCAATGTTAAAATCATTGGATGTCATGCTATGCAAACATTCTCGTGTTCAAATACGTTTTAGACGTTTCTAAAGAGATGATAATGATTTGAAATTTGCATAGCATAATCAGGTTGTCAGGCTACCTTGCTACTGGACTCTTAGTGTAATCAAGTGTGCATGTAAACTAGGCTTAGAATATGTACAGTGCATGGAATATAACATAGAACCAAACTACAGTTTTAACCACAACTATCTAGCTCTTCTATGTAAAACAAGGTTTTTCTTGTGTTCATTAATCCAGCTAAATAGCTTTTGCAAGTCTAAACCATGCAATAAACTTTGCTTCATGTTCTTAAAGTGGTGGTATTTTCTCCCGGGAGTAACATGAAATGCTCTCTCACTCAGCAGTTCTTTTACAACCTTTAGCAAATCATTATTTGATGAGGTAGTAATATGTCTGCCAGACCATCTGTAAACAGAAAGTTCATGTCCGAACTGCCTCATCAACACATTTGTCACACCCATGGAATGTGAAATTCTGTTAAGTGATGATTTGCAAGCATTTGGCCCAAGATTCTTAACTGCTGCTTTCATGATTCGGTTGAAAAACTCAAGTTGGAGGTCAAGAAGTATGTTGCCACCAGGCCCATCTTTGTTGTTCACCGACTGGTTCCATATCAATCTGGGAGCTGCTTGTGGACTTAAAAGAGCATTAGCTTGGCACATAAGGTATAAACCCTCAAGCGAGTATTTCACAGCTGATTGACCTTCTGTTCTTAAGTACAGTTGTTATATTCTTTCAGTTTCGTGATTTATTTCAGTTCTAAGATAGCTACAAGGCTAGATATCACCATATATGATCGATTGGTTTCTCTTTATTTTATTCAGACTTTTCCAGGCGCTATTATCAAGGCGATTCACTAAAATACATGCAATAGAATGTTACTATCAATCCACTATAACAATAACAATATTTCTATGATCTACTTACATGACCTTGCAGCTTTATAACAATCGATATGTTCTTATTAAACTCTTTATATTAACATGTTCTTCGTTCTATGTTACTTCTCCCACAAAATATCAAAATATATATCGCACGCTTCCTCGTTATTACCCCCAGCGTAGCTGTCAATCACTCTAATCTATAAAGCTCACTATAACGTCAATAATTAACTCTGAAAAGGATACATCGTGGTGATAACATCCCGCCCCCCATGAACGATCTGTTGTAGATGTAGTTCATCATAAACCGATTCTAATTTTCACCACGTTTCAACGACTGTCCGTTTACATATCTTGATCATCAGCAGCTTCTAGTAAGCAAACTTTCGCGATCGGACGTCTGTATACCGAGTTTTTTGATCTTACGTCAATTGTCCTTACTCGTCCATCCGGACCAGGGAATACGTCTACGATCCTTCCCATTGGCCACGTATTTCTGGGTACATTATCATCCGCAATAAGTACCAGGTCATCAACTTGCAAATTTCTCTTGGGCTCATTCCATTTCTTTCTCTCTTGTAATGTTGGTATATATTCCCGCAGCCATCTTTTCCAATAATGATTTGCAAGTAGTTGAGCTCGTCTCCATTTCTTCTTACTATATTTGTCATTCTCGGAAATAATCTCGGGGGGTAGGTAAATCGCTGGACGAACGTTAAGGAAATGGTTTGGCGTAAGGGGTTCATCGTCGTTTGGGCTTAGTGGATTCCGGGTGAGCGGTCGTGCGTTCGCAATACGTTCAGCTTCAGTAAAAACCGTCTGCAGAACTTCCTCGTTTACTAGATCTTTCCCGACTATAGCTTTCAAGCTTCTTTTCACTGTTCGAACCAGTCTTTCCCATACACCGGACATGTGCGAGGCTCCTGGTGGATGAAAACCCCATTTACATCCTCTCTTAGATAACTCGTTATTAATCTTCGTTTCGTCCAGCTGCTGGATAGCTTCTCGGACTTCACGCTCGGCGCCGACGAAGTTTGTTCCGTTGTCAGAACGCATTTCTTTCACGTGTCCTCTTCGATTTAAAAATCGAACCAAGACTAAAATGAAATCGTCGGCTTCTAGCGACCTCGCTACTTCTAGATGAACTGCTCTGCTGTTCATGCAGGTGAATATCACTCCCCATCGTTTTTCGGTCGTTTTTCCTCTTCCATGCTTAACAAAAAAGGGGCCAAAGTAGTCCACTCCTGAATAGGTAAAGGCTGGTTCGTATGGAGTGAGTCGAGCCTTAGGCAGTTCGGCCATCTCTTGGTCCTGTCTTACTACAGTTCGTCGTTTGCATTTGATACATCCGTTTAAAACTTCTCTTATCGCCGCACGTGCTTTCAGGATCCAACAGAATTCTCTTGATAGCGCCAGAACTTGTTCATGCCTGCAATGACTGTTCTGTTCGTGCAAAAAACGAATATAGATCTCAGTCACATGGTGCTTCCTTGGCAATATCATTGGGTTTGCGGCATCTCGGGAAATTGGTGCCTTTGATATTCTTCCCCCGACTCGTATGATGGCTTCTTCGTCCAGGATCGGTTTTAAACTTGCCAGCCTACTGCCCTTGACCGTCAGACTCTTTACTAACCTCGTTATTTCTTCCTTAAAGGCATTGTCTAATAGAGCATATGTGGTCAGCGATGCTCCCTCAGGAGATATTACTTGCACAGGAACTACATGAAGTAACACCAATTTCGAGGCCGTGTTTGTTATTGTTGCATACTGTTCGGTCTTCTTTTCTTTATCACATTGTAATTTGTTGCGTTCCTCTGTATCCTCGGTTAATTTCTTGTCATTATAGTTATTATTATCATCCTTTTTCCTCGTGTTATGGAGCAGCACGTGATGTTTCCTCTGACTATCACAGGGACAGGAGTCGGTACTGCGACAATTCTCTCTGAAATGTCCAACCTTCATGCACACATGACATAGTCTCTGTTCCTTCACGATTTCCCATCTTGCATTCAAATCTTTCTTATTGAATTCTGGACAAAAGGCGAGTTGATGGGACCGTGGACAACATGGACATTTTGGCCATTTTGTTTTCCAGGGTTTCGGGTTGTTATTATCTTTCTCACGACCTTCCTCTGTTCTCTTCTTCTCAAGATCGGTATTGTATGTCAGGGTTTCCCTCATTCTTTTGGTGTCTTCGTTCTTCCGTCCGCGCCATCCGCCCAATTTTGGCTTTACATCCATGTTTTTCCCAGTGATGGATCCTATAAATGCAGGATCATTCTTGATGGCCGCTTGTCTTTTGACAAATTGTGCAAGATCCTTGAGTTGTGGCTTTCTTCCACTTTCTCTTATCGAGTATGACGCGTCTCCCCATTTGTTGATCAGATAGCTTGGAAGCCTGGCGGCGATCAAGTTTAAATTCGATGTTGTGCTTGCTTCTTGTTCGTATTCAGTATCAAGTCTTTTCACAGACGATGTGAGCTGTTCAGCAAAGTTACGCAATCCTTTGTAGTCAGTGTTCGTTAACTTTGGACCGGATATCAAGGACTCAATACAAGAGGCAGCCACTCTTGCTGGCTGGCCATATCGTTCTTGCAAAATCGCGACGATATCCGGGTAAGAACAGCCGGTAACTCTTTTAACGGTTTCATACGCTTCTCCCGACACAAACTTAGGGAGAAACTCAAAGACTGTCATTTAGAATACCATCCTCAAGATTGTCGATTAGCCTTTTTCTGAAAGTAGGAAAGTCCGCTGGGTTGCCATCAAATTTCACGGGTTGCATCGCTTGAAGCATATTTACTTTTAACATTACTGCTTGAGCATCCGAAATCTGGTTTTTACTCGCTTCCGGTTTAGGATTTTCACATCCAGCAGTCTTGGTATGGTGTAAACTACCATGTTCGTTTTTTCCAGT